GTCCGACTTACTATTTTTAGCCGACCATACCAACAGGTATGATAGGCTATTATAAGATCGGCAAAAAAAAAGTTTTTTTAATTTCACTCAAAATGAGTTATTTGGGGGTCATAAATGACCTAATTACATAATATTTTTATGGTGTCTGTCTGTCTGTCCCTCTGTAATTATCGTGTTACTCAAAAACCGCTAAACCGATTTTAACCAAATTTGGCACAAAAATACTGTGGCACCCGAGAATCTGGCCATTACTTTTTTGTGGGGGTGGGGGGTTGGTAAGGGGTACGATTTAGGGAGATTGGTGAGGGGGTTAAAAATTTTAAAAAAGTCGTAACTCCAAAATTACAGTAGCTAGCGGAACGCGGTTTTCAATTTAAGATTAGGAATAATATTTGCAACAAAATTTTTAATAACATCAAAATCAGCCAAAGTCGCAGTTTTTGAGATTAAAAAAAATTGGAAAAATTCCTTTACTTTGAAACTAAAAGAACTGCCTACCAACTTTTTATTAACATATTTTCGAGCATATTTTAGTATGGGCGGCTATAAGTGCCTCCCGGCGCCAATTTCTTATTAACTTATTATTATATCCCTGTACGGTTTTATGTATTCCATGAAACAGGAAAAACTATAGTAGTAACGTTAGAAAGGAAAAACAAACAACTTCCGAATTAAAAAAAACACTACCCGAAGACCGATATCGATCAAAATGAATAAAATTCATTAGCCGTAGCGCGGCGAAACGCGTTTTCCCGAACAAAGAGATGCAGATACACCATTTCTTTTGTTGTTGTTGCCGGTGTTGAACCTCTTGAATTGCAGTACCATTATTTTCCACGTGTATCCTGTCTGAATCGGAGATCCGGTCGGCGCGGCGGGGCGAACACTGCTGTAATTTCGTTTGCATACCCTGAAAATAATTCGAACAAGGTTCAGCAAATGCACGTAAAGGGTCACTGATTATAAATGGACTCGTTTATCTTTTAAATGGCGCACGATTTTTGTCTGTAGGTATATTGGTCTGTACTAGCTTTCAGTTTTTAATATAATAATCCATGTTCTATGGTACATTCATTCAACCAATGTGTGGAGGTACCATGTAATACCATTTATTTTGCCGGACTAAGTTATCATGGGAGAAACATCAAAGGTTTTTCTTGATTTAAGTAAGAGCAATCTTCGTATTGTCACGTGGTTTTTAATAGAACACTCCTCAATGAACACCTCCGTAGATTAAATCTATAGGAAACAACGGCAAATGCAGATTCTGTGAACACCAGAACACCTCATCACTGAATGCGGCGAGACGACAACCATTCGTGCCAAAAAACGGAGATGGAGAACTACCTTCTGTAAAACCGTCTCAGATACTGACTTTTGTCAAAGCCCTGACACTGTAAAGTAAAGTAATGTAAAGATTTCAGTTAACGTCTCCTTTTTGCTGCCAGGGCTAATCTGGACGGGGCCTCCTTTGTTTACGAGGAATCCGAACCGCGCTCCTCGGCCATATCATGGTCAGTGGCCTACCGACTTGGGAAGTGTCTAAATTAACTCTTACTCACGAGATATCCGATCTCATGCGGCCTCGAACCGGCGTGAATGAGCAGTGTGTATCAATAAATTTTACACTTTTCCCTCGGACAACAGCACGATACAGAGTTTCGAACCGGTCACCCGTCCATCCACCTGTCTACCAGTATCGCCTAACGTCGCTTAACTTCGATGTTCTAATGACTGTATGATGAGTTATAACTAAAGAAAAGGGAACACAATAGATCTATTATGTCGCGATTTTTAACTTCTCCTCTACTATACAGTCTACATCTTCCAAGGGGTATCAAACACACTAATCTATAAATCTTAAAAAAAAATGGACAAGTCTACTCACAAGCGACAAACATGTACAGAGTGTTCAGAAATATTTAGTAATATACCATATTGCGGAGGTAGTAAGATACTTTTGTATATAGGAATTGTAAGGTTATAGTTGAAACTGCAGAAAGTGAAATAAATATAAACAAAAGACAAGAATAGACCAAAAACAGAAGAAAGTTGTTAAGAAAAATATATCACTTCACTTTTTTAACATCCTTTTTTAACGTTAAAGTTATTGTATAGTATTAAAAAGTTTTATAAAAATATTAATTATAATTATTACTCTATACAGGGTGTCCCAGAAATAAGTGCAAGTATTTTAACTGGTAGTATAGTTGAACCCCAGAAACACGCCTATGAGGTTTTTTTCGCGAAATTTTTTTTTGAAATTCGAAATTTTTTTAGTTTTTAGTTAAAAAACATATAATTTCTTGATAATATGGCAACATAGGTATTAGATTAAATTTACAAGAAAGAAAATCCAGAAAAGATCCAGTGGTTCTCAAAATTTTACCAAAAAATCTTTTTTTTTTGGAAATTTTCGAAGTAAAATAACTCCGTTATTTTGGACTTATTTAAAAAGCGATAAAGAGAAAATATGTTTCTTTTATCGAGATCTACCACCCCCTAAAATACTTGCACTTATTTCTGGGATACCCTGTATAGCGTAACAAAATTTATGAAGTTAGAAAATGTGACGTACCTCATATATCTCACGTATTTTGTCTAAAAGTCGAACTATATAGAGAATATAATCGATTTCCGTGTTTTAATGAAGATTGCAAAATAGACATAATGAATAATTCAGATTGGAAAAATTTGAGTTAACCTGAACAGTTCAACAGTCTACGATGATTATTTTTGTCACCGTATTGCCTGGCTATTGTTCTAAAATCATAACTTGCACAGGATTAGGGTATTTCATTAAATGCTTTTAAACATTTTATTTGAAAGGAATTTCATATTTATTTTTAGATGTTGTTCAATGTTACTTAATAAACAAAACATCTTAGTACTTACAATTCACGTTCACATAATTACAATAAATCAATCGAAATCGATTTAAGCATTCGGGATGATGAATCGCATGCACAAAAGCGATATTTCCATTGAATGTTTTGTAACATTGAGATTGTTAAGAGGGCACTATTATTTATTTCATCTATTTAAAAAAAAATATTTTCTTCTGGTTTATTTAATATTTTTAATATTCATTTAAATGTTGAAAAAAACATATACAGTGCCTGACAAAAAGTTTGCAATAAAATGTTTAAGTACTGATTTATTTAAAGAAATATGTGAAATCCTAGACTTGTATAATATATAGATTAAAGATAAACATTCGTTTATTATGACCCAACATATTTATATTATATGTCTTAGGGTAACATCTTTACAGCATTTTAAATAATACGAAAAAATCGTCAAGTTTGTTAATTAATTATTAACAATAATATTCTATTTTTTTCAAACCTCACAAAAGTATTAATTTTTGCGACGTGATTCACGTAATTAAAATTAATTTTGTACCTGTTCTCAGATTTTATTCATTTTCTACTTAATATTCTACGTTTTCTACGTAGAAAATTAATTTTCTACTCGTCGTTACCCAACCCTGAATAAAACGTTTTGTATGTGGCGAATAATATGTTTTAAAAAATCACGTAAAAATATTAAAATTAAAAACAAAAAAACGTTTAGATGATATATAAAGAAAACTGAAAACAAAAAATGTTTGTTTTAGTATTACTTCGTTCCTGTCTCTATTTTAGTCGGATATCGATGTGTTTGCTTCAGTTTAAAGGTGAAGGTCTCGAATAAAGGGGAACTACACCAATAGGGAAGTTTCCAAAGTTATTCAACGCACCAGCTCTATCGATTTCCCAGCTCCATTCGGTCTGGCCGCTGCTCTCCGTCCCCCCTCACGCCCCTCGCCATCCTCCACAGACTAAAACTTTTCATATAAATTCTTTTTCCACCTTTATTAAAGGTCGTGTGTCTTCTTTCATTCTTGGTCGGGCTATTACGTAGCTTCAATGCGTGTATTCGTCGTGATTTTGCATGTACATAAATACTTCTGGATACGAGAAATATATGTAATTTATTTTAATCTGAATTTCCAATGGGGAATTTTAAAATGCTATTTTGAAGAAATGAACTACAACTTACAACTTTATTGAATTTATTTTAAAAACAATGTAGGGATTCATGATACTATACTACTAACATAAAATATTGAATTATCTTTATTAAATTTTGTCAGAACAGGACAGAAACGGGGTAGCGTTTCTGTCAGCTCTATCGATTGTTGCTTCCATTAGGACTGGCTGGAATTGCTTTTTTGTCCTAAACAAAGCTTATTAAATTTTATATATAAAATGTTTTCCTCCTTTAATAAATAATGCTTTACTTTTATTCCTCGTACTTTTTTTCATAGGCTTTTTCTTTTTACACAAGTATAATATTACTACTGACGTTTTATCCATTTCAAATCTTTACCTAATTTTAATAAAATAGCATACCTAATAATTCCATGTTAGGATGTAAATATCTTGCTGTAGCAAAAACCCGCAATATGCATTATACGGCAACAAAACCCGTCTTAAGGTTGATTCTCACTATACCTACCGTTTCCATTCCATATCCCTTCCATATCCGTTCCGTATTTTTTATTGTATTGACGCTATACGTAAGCTTCCGTTCTGTATCAGTTGCAAATATTTGTATCTTTTGAAAAAGGTAATAGATTTAATTAAGAGGTAAAAGAATAAATAAATATCAGCAAAATGTTAACAGAGCTGATACAAATATGAACTTGAAAACGCTGTTTCCGATACGCTTCAGTCCGTCCGCCAAAAAAAAAGGTATAGAAGGAAAGGATATGGAACGGAAGGGAAACGGAACGGATAGTGTGCGTTGTCCTATTCATTTACATGATACAATATTTTATGTAAACGAAAGGGAAAGGGAAGGGAGCTGATTCGGAAGGTATAGTGAGAATCAACCTTTATCCGAATTATTTTTGTGTTTTTTCTCTTTAAAAATTAAATATATAATTTTTATTTCTACAAAAACCAGATACAAAACAATGATTCTACTTAATGATATAACACGTTTTTTTTTGTAAAATAACGCTTCAAACAGTTTTTGCGTATTATCTCGAAACACGTTTTTGGGATTAGACGGGTTTTGCAACTTAACGCCTCAATGAGTAAATACAAATATAGATAAAATATGCTCGAGTTAGACGAAAAACTGGTGAAGCTGGCAACGCCGTGGCCACCCTCTTAACAGGCCACTCCTCTCTTCAACGGCCGCCGCACGTCGAGCCAGTCGCAGTCAATAGCGAGACCTGTTCGCTTCCTTTGCGCTAGCGTTTTAATCAGGCAAATGTCGAACAACGCCGAAAATTCCACAGGAACTGCGCCACGTCCAAAGCGGACACTTGGTAAAAAAAGGACTTTTCTAACGCTGAAGCAAAAAGTCGAAATGTTGGAGTTGCACGCCAGCAGCGCAAAAACGAGTGCCCGAGAATTGGCCAAGCGTTTCGGTGTGGGCAAGACGCAGGCGGCGGACATACTCAAAAAGAGACAGGAGATACTGAACAAATGGTACTCGACGAACCCCAACGTTAACGAAAAGAGGAGCTTCTTACATCCGAAGGGAATTCAAATAGATAATTTATGTTACGAATGGTTCCTAAATGAAAATAGCAACGGAACATACATTACAGGTAACCAAACACGTACTGTTTTATACAGGGTGGTCCGAATTGTATTTGGGAAACTTCGGCAGCATATTTTTTTAAATAAAAATAAGTAACAAAGTTCGTATAAATATATGTCCTAAAATGCTTCGTTTCGGAGATACAGGGTGTAGAATTTTCATTTTCTAGATAATTTTTTATTTTTTTTCAGATAATTATTATAGTCAATATTTGATAAATATTGGTGTCTGAGTCTGTTTTTTGACATGGGAAATTTGATTTCGACGTCAATATGTCTCCTACTTGTAGGGAGCCCCACCTACATATTTTTAACAATTTTGAAGAATAACAACTTTTCGTCGGTACGAAAAACTCCTGAGTGAAAAACAGTTGAAATGAAAACTACTGAGTGAAAATACATGTTGTTATTGACAAGAAACTCGGCAAAAAATAAAACATGTTGATTTGACTGAGAAAGATTAGATAAATTTGGGAATTTTTATTTTTTTTTAAATTAATCATAAATTTTCCTTCAAAAAATTATGATAAAACAATTTCTGTTGTACTTTTGGTAGAATGTAGAAATGTAATGTTAATAACTATTTAGTCAACATGTTTAATTTATTTCAATGATGACAGGTATTGATAATTTCGATTCCAAATACCTCGAGCACCATTGTAGCGATTTTTACCAAAAGACCCTTTTTACGTAGAAAACGTCGTAAATGTATATTTTTTACTCAGTTGTTTTATACAGGTATGGGCGAAAAGTTATTACTCTTCAATACAATTAAAAAATATGCAAGTGGCGTCCTCTACAAGTAGATTGACATCAAAATCAAATTTCTCATGTCAACATCTCATCCAAATATAGATTTTAGTTCAGAAATTATTTGGAAACAATGGAAATAAAAATGAAACTTCTACACCCAGTATATCCGAAACTAAGCATTTTAGGACCTACATTTACATGATCTTTTTTACTTATGCAGAATATGCTGCCGAGGTTTCCGAAATAGAGTTCGGCCCACTCTGTATATTCAAATGGAACAAGCCGTTAGGTCTTAATTCACAAAAAAGTTAAATGCTTGATTTAAAAGAATAACCCTATACTCAGAGAAATAAGTAAATTTACAGAAATTCTAAAATATGTGTAGTCAACGTTTTAATTTTATCCGGCAATGTTGCCAGATTTCTCAGTAAAATCGGTTGTTTCAAGATTTAGTTTCCCACTTAGGACCTCCTCCTCCTCCTAGGTGCCTTCTCTGTTGAGGTTGGCGATTAATATGGCATATGACTCTCTGTCCAGAGCTTGGTAAATAAGGGTGTTTCCGTTGGTGTGGATCCAATCTCTTATGTTACGCAGCCATGATTTCTTTTTTCTCCTTATGCTACTACATTTTTCATCGATTTTTCCTTCTATTGTGGGCACTTAGGACGCAACATTATAATTACAATCTTTTTATTACATATTGTATTTCGGTATAACGGAAAATGTAAGATTATCTACTAGGCGATCATTTGAAAAATCGAGAATCCTACTAAGATGTGAGTCGAAGAGTACCTCATTTTGGTTTCCCCTCCAATCCTCATTATTCGAGATCATGTTGATCGATATTTCAGATTTCTAGTTTTTAAATTGCCATTCAAACAAGTTTTTTTTACATTATTTATTAAATTTCTTGAGATATAGAAGTAGTGTGTTACATTTACCATTTATAAGCGTTGTTTACAGCATATTGTGTATTTCTTAACTAACTTTGACACAGTAATGGGAATCATTGACTACTATATTAAAAATGTTATTTATATTAATAAATAAAGATTTTTTTTTATTTATATTAATAAATAGTAATTGTAAATAGTAATAAAGATTAATGCGCTTCGGTATTTACTTATTTCTCGGGGAAGTTAGTTGTTCAGACAACAATGTTTATCTAATATTAGATCTGTGGACATCTGAAGAACAAAAATAGTACTATAAAAATTGTTAAAAATTAAACAACAAATAGGAAATATGTATAGAATCATGTATTAAAAAAGTATCAAAAATACCATATTATTTAAATATATTAAAATAATTAAAAACATATTTAAATAGTATAAAAATACCAAATAACAAAACACTTCCTAAACTTGAACTTTAAACATTATTTTAAGGACCGTCGATTCAACAAAAAGCCAAAGAGATTGCTGCCAGTTTAGATTATCATGATTTTTATGCCTCCTCGGGTTGGTTGGAAAAATTTCGCAATCGGCACAATATTACTTTCAGAGGAAATTCTGCAGAACATTCAATTGCCAAAACCGGCCATCAAAGAAACATTTTACCAACCGTAGTTGGTAATAATGAAGGAACATTAAAAAATTCTTTAGACCTGAAGGAATCCAGAATTGATAAGTTGTGTTACGAATGGTTTGAACTTCAGACTAGTAAAGGTCTTATTATTACAGGTAATAATAATTTTAATTTGCAAAATGTGTTTTTCTAACTTTTGAATTTTAAGACTCCTTGATGCAAAAAAAAGTTGAAGAAATCGCTGCCATTTTAGATTGCGATGATTTTAGTAATATTCGTACTTGGATTGACAGCTTTTGTGTTCGTCATAATATAACATACAGTTTTGGTCATTTGTGCAAAGGAGAAATTGATCGACATTCGAAATTAAATGAAGAACCCATGGTTTACACTAAAATTAAAGAAGAAATTATTTGTCAATCGGAATTGGAAAAGTCCGAAGTTAATATTAAAGTAAAAGAAGAACATGAACCTTCCACGGACATAGAAATTAACAGTTATGATCGTGCTATCGAAATGGTAAAGGTTCTCCAAGATTTTGTTAGCACTCGACAAGACGATTATGCATTAAACTTGCTGATTGATTTAGACATACATTTTCATAATATCGTTCTAACCAGTGAAACATCTGGACAAGAATAGATTTGTGTAGTATCTTGTATAACAAAATGAAACAATATAATCTATTTAAAAAACAACGAATACTTTTATCTCTATTTTCTTAACATATTCCTACAAATTTTGATTCATTGCGTCACAACTTATATTCCACCGAGCACTATTCTAAGAACTTCCGAAATATTTGGATTGTACGTTACTTTTTTAAAATAATTTCCAGCAAAAACAACTTTCCACAACTGCACACGGTCGTAGATCGACTGAAACAAACTTTTATCTATGCTCGCCACCTACAGCTGACGTTGCTCCTACTGCACGTCAAATATCAATGACCCTGCGAACTGAAAATAACATCGCTGTAGGCGGAGCGATGCACGATTCCTGCGCAAAATACTCGATCCTATTGGCCGAGCGTCGGCGGCCATCATGGTTCTTGTCATTTTTTTGTTTGTTGTGCGGACGTTGCCCGTGGCAACACGCATAACAAACGAGACGAGAAAATATCACGTTGCCATTTATAAGAAGGAGATAAAGAATATCCGAACGGTCTACGCTGGGAAGACTTGTTGAGAGAAGGCTGTTTTTCTTTGCAGAAAGCGAGTGGGGGTATGTTTGAGGATGTCGAATGTATTTTGGGATCAGATGAACGCTAGAATCAAATGTGAATTATTTTGTTGATGGCATGCTGTGTTGCCAATCTAACAGATTATTATGAAGATTTTTTTCTCCTTGTTTTACTAAGGCTCAAATGTATATGTCTTCCTTCCTGCTACATTCAGTGACACGCTGTGCAAAATCTTAGGGCGAAGCGTCCCTGACCGTGTATGCTAAAAAAATTTTTTGCTTAAATTTTGAGAACGATCGGGTTTTCATTCTTGTAATTTTAATCTACTATCTATGTTGCCATATTATCAAGAAATTATGTTTTTTGACAAAAAAAAACTAAAACAATTCCCAAATTATCAAATTTGTTTTTTCGCAATAATAAAAGCCTCAGTATCGTGTTTCTGGGGTCGAAATATACTACACCTAAAAATATTTGCACTTATTTAAGACTTACCCTGTATAATTAGAAATCTTTAAAAGTTAAGTTAATAATTATTATAAATTAATAATGTAAACTAAAAAATTATGCTCGCAAAAATAAAGCATAGAGTTTGGAAAAAAAATATGTGAAGAGAACATTTTTTGGATATGAGATTTAATTAAGATATTTCAAAATTAATTTTATTTTTCAAATTCCCTGTTATAGGAAGTAGGCAATCTCAAGAGTGAATTTAAAAAGAAAATGTTTGAAATATTTAATACTTAACGTGGCGTATACACGTTAAATCCTTTTAAAATTCTTATGAGCTTAAAGTCATATATTTTTTGTACTGCGCGCAATTTTAATATAAATTTTCATAATACCTATATGTATATACTAGCTTTAATCGTGAGAACCTGCAGTAAATTTCATTCTTGGTTTATTTAGTTAGATGCTGCGGAAATGAAAACAAGTATACGTAAGTCTGAGAATATACATATGTATAACGCTAGGAAACTAAAATATGTAAGTATGGTTATGATGGACACAGCTTACAGATTTACAAGTTTTTTGACATATTTATTTTGAAGTGTAATAAAACTAAATTTAATATTATCTAAACATCAGTCAAAATACAAGTTAAATATAATATATGAAATTCTGTATACAGGGTGAGTCTTAAATAAGTCCAAATATTTTTAGGGGTAGTATATTTTTGACCACAGGAACAAGTCTATATGAGGTTATTTTAGCAAAAAAAATTATGTTGAAAACCATGCATTTTCCTTTAAATTTTCCCGCATATTTTAGAAAATTTTTTAGAACTGCCTGTTCAGCGCAAATTTTCCTACGTTATCATTTCTTATATTACTATGGTTGCGGCACTAAAAGGGATGCAAATACAGAAAAAATCGGTGGCTCTCAAATTTTTTTATAAATATTTTTTTTTTAAATTTTCAAACTTGAATAACTCGTTACCTTATTTTGGACTTATTGAAAAACGGCAAAGGGAAAATATGTCCCTTTTATCGAAATCAGATTAATCTGTATTTTTTTCGGTGGTAACGTTTAAAAGCCCTTCATAAATAATGTCCAAATTGGTATGGGAATAGAATGAATAGGTATATAGGGTATATTTAACAAAACTTTGGTTGCACATCATAATACGACCACCAGCAAACTCCATAAAACGACGCATTGTGTTACTGATGACGTGCAACCAAAGTTTTGTTAAATATACTATATTTTTATATTTAATAAGAGTTTTAAACACGTCTGGTAATAAACTTATAAAATATTTTTTGAATATAGTACCTATTACAGTCCTAACTACTTTACGCTATCGAAAGATGCGTACAATTGATCTTAGATAGGAACTATCGAAAATAGGAAATTGCCATCCTATCCGATAGTCAAGCAGCACTTAACGCGATCAACTCAATAACCATCAATTCGAAGTTGGTCAAAGAATGCCTAGAGAAGCTCAACAAATTAGGTAAAGAAAATAAAGTCCTCCTACTCTGGGTGCCTGCTCACCAAGGGATAGAAGGCAATGAAAAAGCAAATGATCTAGCTAGGAAACGAGCGAACACTCCACTAACTGGACCAGAACCGTTCTGTTTTCCAAACGGGAACCAACTGAAAGCGGAACTGAAGAATCTGGAAGACTCCATCCGTAACTTGGAATGGGTGTCCTCCAACGGTCTAAGACACTCGAAAAAGTTCCTCAGAACTTATGACCGAGAAAAATCAAAGGTTTTCCTTGATTTAAGTAAAAACAATCTTCGGATTGTCACGGGGTTTCTAACAGGACACTGTCTCCTCAACGGCGAATGCAGATTCTGTGGGGAAAATGGGGAAACACCAGAACACCTTATCACTGAGTGCGCCGAGACGATGACCATTCGTGCCATGAACTTTGGTACGGCTGATGTCGAGGATGGAGAGCTGGCCTCTGTGGAGCCGTCTCAGATACTGGCTTTTGTTAAAGCCCTGAGACTGTATGATGAGTTATAACTCGTTATAACTCAATAAAGGGGAACACACAATAGATCTGTAAGGTCGCGGTGATTAACTCTCCTCCTAAACATTCTACATTCTACAGTCCTAACTGCAGAGGTAGAAAAACCATCTTAAAAAATAGTTATAAAATGGTCACTTGAGAACGTTATAATAACGATTCTGCAACTGGGTCCACATATAAACATTATCGACCTACATTTAACGAAAGTATACGCCATCGACCATAGTACCGGTACCGACGATCGCCATAACCTTGACTTGGCCTTAAATTGGCTGGATTAAACGCTTTTTACGCCACGATAATAAATAAGCGACGAGTCGGTCGCTCGAGGTGATGGTTCTCAGAAGTACCGGGTCGATGGAAAACACCGTCCACCATTTGTTTAATGGACCAAAACATGGTGTAAATACTTGTAATAAACATATTTATGAATATGCAAGTTATTAATAGGTACAGGGTGGGTCAAATTGAACGCTTTTATAGGGAAACACCCTTTTCTATAAGAGATAGACGAAAACTAATATTGGTGTCTGGAGCCCAATTTTTATCAGAAACATGTTGGTGAAAACCGCACATCGATATCTGTTACCGTTTCGGAATTAGGGGGTGTTTTTCAAAAATGTGCATTTCTAACTTTTAATAATTTAGTAACTTTTTTGCTATGGAAAATTTTGTATTTTTACGCAAACATTTCCAAAGCACCATTTTACGTAGAATTTAATGGTTTAAATATACTTTTTTCAAAATTAATAATTTAAAAATTATCAACAGAAAATTTGATTTTTTTAATGGGACACACTGTATATTTCTAATTCATTGAAAATAATTTAAAATTACCTTTCCAAAAATATAGCACACTTGATATTTTGCTCGATTCCTTTTCGAAATATAGAGTAAAAATTCGCCCACTTTGAATAAGTAAGCTTTGAACACGACGCCGTCTGCAATGGAAAAACATTCTAGCTGTCAGCAGCAATTAAAACGAAAATAATATTTGCAATGAAAGATGCAGAATTTTATAACAATTTAAACTATATTTAAAAACATCAACACATTTAAACTATATCTAATAACAATAAAAATAAATAGCAATCCAAGACATGATATTTTGCTACAGGTACAGGTGTTTGACATATCGACCTTCGTCTGTTATCCGTTTTTGAACATTTCCGGAATTCATTAACTTAGTAGGGGTGAAAAATACCTTCGCTAACCGCTAAATACTTCTTTTTCTTGTCTAGGTTATACAGGCAATTTAAAAATACTGTATATATACTTTATTCTTCCGCAAAGATAAAAATCAATAGGCTCTAAGTCCTGCGGCCTGGATTGCCAACCGCATGAGATCTTGGTTAGCTATTCAGTATTCAGATATTCCTGAAATTGGCTACAAAAATTTTCCGATAACTTCAGCGTTCTGAGGCGATGCTTCGTCTTGCTGGAAAAATTTGTTTTCGAGTTCCATTAGGGGCATATCATCAATAAGGGGTCCAAAGCCTACTAGTTAAAAGTGGCGAACTTTTAAAAATTCTGTATTTCAAAGGGGGCTAAAACAAAGTATCCAGTGTGCTACATTTTTGGCAAGATAATTTAATGTTCTTTCAAGTTAATTATAGATAAAAATATACAGGGTGTCCCGAATAAAAAATCAATTTTCTGTTAAGGTAACTCTTAAATTATTAATTTTAAAAATTATACTTAAACCATTAAACTCCACGTAAAAAGGTGCTTTGGGAATATTTTCATAAAAATACAACATTTTCCATAGCAAAAAAGTTACAGCGATTTGTTAAAACTGCACATTTTTGAAAAACACCCCGTATCTCCGAAACGGTAACAGATATCGAAGTGCAGTTTTCACCATCATTTTTTAATAAAAATTGAGCTCCAGACACCAATATTAGTTTTCGTCTATCTCCTATAGAAAAGGGTGTTTCCCTTTAAAAGCGTCGAATTTGACCCACCCTGTACATACAGAAGGGAAAGCTTCATTTTTTAAAGAAATTGAACAACTTCACGAATAAAGAGAATGATGAAAAAAGGACAGAATATGAAGCTGACTGAAACTTGTGTCGTTATAATGAAACTACAGGTCGCACGACGCTCAATGGAACGAAATGTGCTGGGAATAACCAAGAAAAACTGTAAAAGAATAGAGTGGATACGACAAAGGACCCAGGTAATGGATGTCATCAACAGAATCAAATCCCTCAAGTGGCAATGGGCA